CTCTTCGTCTTCACGAAGAACATAGAGATCAAGCCCTTCGGCGCCTTGGCCCTGAATGCCACTGAACTCAAGCTGGCGCGCGAAGCGCCGATGGGGCACGAGCGCGACTCCTACCGGCGGCCCACGCACGGCTAAATGGTTTGGCCCAGCTCACCTACGTCCTCGGCCCTCCGCCGACGCCGCTTGACGAACCTCTCGAGCAGAACGCGGGCGCGCGCCCTGCCGATCAGGTCCGCGCACCTCTCGTCGCGGGCGTTGTCGGGCAGGGGCACCTCGCCCCCCTTGCAGGGCGTCGCCGCTATGCGCGCCCCTTGCCGCGCGCCGACTCGGCGCGGAGACGCGCGCGCGCGCGGCTCCCTCCGGGGGGGCCCCGCGGGGGAAACTCACCAGCTGACGACGACCCTCTGAAACCGCGCGCGAATCGCGCCACGCGCCCGAGGCACAGCATCAGGAACTCGACGCACTTCTGGATCGCCGCTGCAGCCGGGCACCCAACTCAGAACTTGCACAACACATCGTCGGCCCTGTTGTCCAACGTGCCCCTCCTTCCCTCTCGCAGCCCGACACCGCGAGAGAGTCGGTGGGCTGGAGACTCGGGCTCGAGCAGCGGCGCGAGTAAAATCTTCCCGGGATGGAGTCGCCCATGGCGGGCAGAACGGCCAGTAGAAGACGCGCCAGGCCAGCCGGTCGCCCCTGGCCTGAGCGGCGGGCGCCACTGCTCTGCTGCAGCGAACCTAGACCCATATCCTTTGCCGTCGTCTCCACATCGGAATTATCGGGCCTTCTCCAGCTGCTTCTCAACTTCGCCCCCCCCCCCCCCCTGGCCCTGCAAGCGGCAAGCCTCCCCAGGCATTGGGGGGCTGCGTCAGGCGAGCTCTTCAGCCCCATGAAGTGCGTCGCGCCCTCGAAACTACGCTTGTCGGGGTGACTCTCGTAGGCGCCCGCGATCGCCTGCGCTCGCAGGTAAGGGAGTTCGACCAAAACCAAGGACCCGAAGGTTCACCTCGTCGTAGCACACTGCGTAGTCCAGCGCAGCTGTGACGGTCTTGAGCTCGCAATAGACACGGTCGCGACCGCGATGTTCTTGCCATGCGCCCACTTGTCCAGCCAGCCGGACGGGGAGAGGCCCGCCCATCCTCTCCGCGCGAGCGCATAAGTGGATGGCGAACGCTTCCAAGGGCCAGTCTGAGAACGATCGGCATCTCGGCAGCACCTCCCTCCACGCCTGGGAACGCTTCCTCTGGGCGTCGCAGTCGACCGCCGCGGTCCGCGCAGTGTCCTCGTCGCCGCCGACGCTGCCGCAACCCCAGCCGTCGCGGGCCGGCCCGTTGAGCTGGGCGGCGAGCTGGTTCTGGCCACCCTCAGCACGAAAGTCGCTCGCGCAGGCGGCGGCCTCGGCTTAAGTCGGGCGCGTCCCCCTACAGGGGGATTTTCGAAGAAAAATGAAAAAAAAATATTCAAGAATTGTCAAAACAAATACTCCAACAATAGTCCCCAGACTGTTTTTTACTATCATGGAATATTCCTCCTGTAGAGGGTGAGGCCCGGCTTAACCTCAGCACCAGGGTCGCTCGCGCAGGCGGCGGCAAGCCGCCCGGGAGAGGCGCCGGCCTCGCAGCCGCAACAGGCGCCTCGGCCCCGTCGGCCACCGCGGGTGTTCGGGGTTAGCGCCAGCCGCGGCGGGCCCAACGTGGATCAGCGCGTCGATGGGCCTCTCACGCCCACTGGGCGCGAAATAGTACTCCACGATTGGCAGAGCGGCACCGCCAGCCTCCGCCAAGGCCTTTTTCCCTCGCCGCGGTGATGAGGCGATTCAGCTCCCTCGTGGAAGGGTGCTCCCTGAAACGGTTGACCGCATGGGCGAACCCGCCGCGAAGGCGCCCGTCACGCAGGCCCCTGGCGAGCGAAAGGCCATCAGCGCAGACCCGCACGCTCTCAGCGTCCACGTGTCCGTCGGGCGTCAGTATCATCCAGGACCCGTTCACCATGGTCGGCCACAGCGACATCCGTTCAAGGTACACCGTGTCGTCCTCGTACGAGGCCAGGTACAGGTACAGCTCCCCGGATAGGAGGCCACTCCAGAACGCCATGCCCGCCGCGTCGGCCGCCACGAGCGCCACCGCGACGGTGAGAACAGCATACCGAACAAGTCGGGCAGGCGAATTGGACAGGCTCGAGGCGCCCACGACCAGGCTCCACCAATTCACTGCCGGCTCCCTGGCGTCGCACTGGTTCAAGCTGCAAGTGCCGTCGTCGACGATCAGCGGGATCTGCGGCGCCGCACACTGCAGGTCGCACGGGACGCACATCGAGCACTCCGGCCACGGCTCGCCAGCGCCAGGGCAATCGAACACTGGAACTGGCGGGAGGATCGGGCGAACAACTGCCTCTAGGTGGGCAACGAATATCGCGCCGGAGCTGGCTGCCTGCCTGGGATTCATCCGCGAGAATTGTTTGAGCACGAACAACTGTAGAATGGATAAAGTACAAGTGGCAACATGTCGATCTCATGCTCATTCAAATCCGCGTACGCCCATACATCGTCATCGTGGTCAGCCTCACGCTGCGTCTGCCAACCGCGCTCGGAAATCGTATCGGTCGTCATCACCTCGGATCGGGAGGAGGACGTTAGGAGGCAACTGCTGGGAGGTCTTCTTGAGAGCGACTACGGGCTTTCTAATCCGATTAGGGGGCTATTCAGCCACACTACCCCAAATCAAGCCCAAGGCTGGGCCGGATTATGCCACATTGGCCAGGATTAGACTGGCTTTCGACCACGGATATACCAGCGCCGATGCTGAATTTAACCTCCCAGGGAATCGCTCAGAGCAGTCCCCGACACCTAGTGCCCACTGGTCGGAAGAAGCAGGTAGAGACATGAAGCAGGAAGGCGTACAGAATAGATTGGGCTTCCGCCCGCCCCTGACAAGGGGGGCGAAGGAAACCCGTTCATCTCTGAAATAGGGAGGCGCACACAGTAGTTTGGAATCCGCTGATCCAAGAACACCTACCCTCAACAACCGATCGGTATGCACGGGGCAGGGGGGCTCCCCTCGGTCATCCACAGCAGGACAAAGACATTAAACCTGTGCTGCTGGCATCGGGACCAAACAAGATGGCGCGTGCACTCCAAAGCCAAACCACAAATGCACCCTTGACCCGAAACACACCCTGCAGACGTAGCCGAACTGGGGCCCACGCCTCTGCATTAGGGACCATCCATCTAGAGGACTTGGCTTGATACACCTGCTGCAAAGACCCCTCCTCCTCCTCCTCCTCCTCCTCCTCCTCCTCCTCCTCCTCCTCCTCCTCCTCCCCCTCCTCCTCTGTAGACGCACGCCTCGCAGCGTGGGCTACCATCTCAGAGGGGGGCCTCTCCTGACCGCAGCGCGCAGGGGGGGGGCCCCGGCGGGCAGTCCACAGCCGACGATGTGAGTTCCGAAGGGGCCCTGGGACACACAAATAAATACACACACACAAATGACAAGATCCCCCATGTCTTCCCATCCCTTCTGGGCTTCTCTCTTCCCCCCCCACTTCCCGTAGTTTCCCACATATATATATATATGTATATATATATAGTTATTTATTCCCCCGGGGGGTCGACGATGAACTGTGCCTGTGCTTTTTGTCCCCTCCCGAATTGCTTCCAGCCGCGCCCCGGAGAGGCCCCGACAGGCCTCCCCGGAGGCAGCCCTCCGCCCCGGGCCGTGCCCTCCGACGGCCCAGAAGGGGGCCCGACGGCGGGCCCCGAGGCCGACGTCATGCCAAGGAACACCCTGCTTGCCTCCAGGCTGCCCTGGGTCTCGCGGGTTTCGGTGATTCTGCGATGGGGAGCGCCGCGCTCCCACGCCAAAAATCGGTGGGCGTCCTGGGGTCTCAGGGTTGGCTTCCTTGTGCGAAGGGGCCCCAGGACACACAAATAAATACACACGAATAAGAAGATTCCCCATCTTTTCCCATATTTTCTGGGTTCTCGTCTTCCCCCCCACTTCCCATATTTTCCCAAATTTCTGGGAAATCAGCAACTAATTGTCTGTGTGTGTTTTTCCCTCCTGAGTCCTGGGGTCTCAGGGTTGGGCTCCTTGCGGTCGAGGCTCCCACGGCGGCTGGAGAGAAAACCCCCAGCCCGTCGGAGAGCCGAGGCCGCGGCCTCGTCGCGAGGCGCGCGGGCCTCGGGGCTCCGGGCGCCGAGAGCCGAGAGGGAGCTCTCTCCTCGCCGGGGGCCAGGCCGACGGGGTCGGGGGATCGCGCGACGCGAGGCTCTCGGGGCTCCGGGCGCCGAGAGCCGAGAGGGAGTTCTCCTCAGTGGGGGTCCAGGCCGATGGGGTCGGGGGATCGCGCCGCATCGCTGGCGCATCGCCGATGCGTCCGCGATGCGTCGACGAAGCATCGCCGAGGCGCATCGGCGACGCTGGTGCTGCGCCGGCGACGTCGGCGTGGAGAAATTCGGCCCCACGTCGAGCCGCATCGCCGATGCATCGGCGATGCGGCGCGATCCTTCGACTCCGTCTGTGCGGACCCCCTCTGGGAGTCCTAGACAGAGGCCGAGATCGACGAAGCACCAGCAACTGAACAAAAAATCGTATCGGCGGTCTGGGCGGGGCTGGCTGTCGCTGTCCTTGGGCCTTGCTGTGTTCTCACTCGCTGGAACATCTGACACGTGTGCGGAGCTACACTGTCAATGCCACGCTGTCGCTGTCCTTGGGCCTTGCTGGGTTCTCACTCGCTGGAACATCTGACACGTGTGCGGAGCTACACTGTCAATGCCACGCGTTCCTGCGGCGTTGCCGCGCCCCTGCTCTGAACGCACACCGCTTGAGGCGGCGGAGGGCTTTTGAGAGATCCATCCAACGAGATGGAAGCACCGCCAGCTTTGGGGGGGAACAACACATCAAACAAAAACAAAAAACAAAAAGAGAACAAACAAACAAACAAACAAAAAACGGAGATCTGGGCACGAGTGCGTCCAGAGGCGCGGGGTCGCGGAGCGCGCGCGGCCTTCCAGGCCGCCCTCACGGCAGCGCGGGGACCACCGGCGCGGCCACCAAGCAGTCCTGCGGGCCCAGGCGGGCAGCGTGGCAGGGGAGGCGGACAAGCAGGAGGAGGAAGAGGAGCAGGAGGAAGTCACGGGCGGCCAACAAGCTAGAAACGCCCCCACCCCCCTAGCAAGGTGCTCCCAGGATCTCCAAGGAGGCTCCCGCGGCCTCCAGAGCACCCCTCACGAGGCCCAGAGGGCCCCAGGGGCCCCAAGACCGAGCGAAATGCGGGGGGGGCACCTTGGGCCAGCGGCACCTGGAGCAACCCTCGATCATCCGTATCCGCGACCTCGCGGGCTGGATTCCCGCGCGCGATCCCGCGGGTACGCGATCGCACGGACACGGTCCGCGCGGAGCAGCCGCGGCGAAACGCCCCCACGTACGCGGGGCCGCGGCCCATGGGCCCCAGGCCCGCGAGGCCGCCCACACGGACTTCTTTCAAGGGGCCCAAGGACACACAAATACATACACACAAATACCAGGATTCCCCGTATTTTCCCATATCTTATTGGTTTTTGTCTTCCCCCCACTTCCCATATTTTCCCGTATTCTAGGAAATCGACGATTACTTATGTCTGTGTGATTTTTCTCCTCCTGATTCTTGCCCACGAGGAAGAGCAAGAGCGGAGCGGAGCGGAGCGAAGCGAAAGGCGCAGGCGAAGGCGTACCAAAGGGAGACGGGCCGTTACTGGCCTGCTCAGCCAGCCAGGCTCCGGACTCAGAGCGAGTCGAAAAGGAGGTTGCTCCCGCCGCACTTTGTGAAAGGTCGCCACCTAAGGGATGAGTATGGTTGTTGCCTTGACCACCCTTCGGAGAGGGCGCCGAGGACCATCATTCGGAGAAGCAGGAGGAGATTTGAGGGGAAGGGAGTGAATCAAGGGGCACAAGGACACACAAATAAATACACACAAATAACATGATGCCTCATATTTTCATATATTTTCTGGGTTTTTGTCTTCCCCCCCACTTCCCATATTTTCCCATATTTTCGGGGAATCGCCGATTAATTGTGTCTGTGTGTTTTTTCCCCTCCTGAGAGGAGAGGGGGGAAGAAGAGGTGGGGAAGAGGATCGGCGGCGCGCCCGGGGTGGAAGACAGAGGGGGTCAGCATCGGCGGTGGACAAACCTCCCTCTATGAAGGGGCCCCAGGACACACAAATAAATGCACACAAATAAAATAATCCCCCATATTTCCCCATATTTCCTGGGTTTCTGTCTTCCCCCCCACTTCCCATATTTTCCCATATTTTCTGAGGAATCGACGATTACTTGTGTCTGTGTGTTTTTTCCCCTCCTGACTTTAGTAAACCTCCCTTTAGTGAAAACGGCCTGGGACCGAAACTGGCGGACCTGGACCCGCAGAAAGGACGGCCGCGACGCCCTCTCGCGAACCGAAAACGGCCAATTCGCTCATCGACGTGTCAGGGTAGGAGGCCTGCCCACCCCCGACAGCACTCTCGGGAGCCATAGGCGAGCTCTCAGTAGGCGGGGCGGCTTCTGAGAAGCCCCGCCAGCTTCGGAGCCGGCTGGCCCCCCCCTGCCTTCACACCTGGACACGCAGCCGAGACGAGACAGTGGAGGCCCGACCACAAGAAACCTGCGAAGGGCGCGCGCGCGCGCGCGCGGTCGCGCGCGTGCCAGAATCAGCCAAAAACCTCAGGTCCCGCGAAGACTCCAAACCTAGTGCCCCGAACATATGTAAAACACAAATGGCTTTGCAATGTGAGTTTTCACATCAGCCTGCGCGCGCGCTCTTGCGAACTCTGGCGAAAACTACGAGACCTTCAGCGTGGTCACTAACGTGCGACCAAAGACGTCCATTTCTTTTCGTGTGGGAAAGTCACGCCTGGCAAGAAGGGTGCTTCTTGGCATGGGCCTCCGCTGTAGGTGGTGACTCCGCGCCATATCTGAAATCCTGCGTACCCATCCCACCCATCCCTTCCCGTTGCGCCGACCTTCTCCATTTCCGCCGACGGGTGTCGTAGCGGACCTGGAACTTCCCGGATGACCCTACCGTGTTGTGCGCAAACACCAAAACATGGGAGCTGTGAGCATTGGCGGAGGTGGAGGGGGGAGGTGGCGGAGAAGCAGGAGTATGAGGAGGAGGAGGAGGAGGAGGAGGAGGAGGAGGAGGAAGAGGCGGAGGACGAGCATGAAGGAGAGGAGGAAGTTGCGACGGAAAACGAGGAACAGCAGCAGGAGCAGGAGCAGGAGGAGCGGGAGGAGCAGGAGGACCAGGGGAAGGCGGAGGAGAGGAAAGAAGGGGGCGACAACGACGATGGACTCGGAATCCAAAAATGTTGCTCGCGCTGACGCGAGAGCGCCATTCTGAACGGGGAAGCGCCGGTCCTGCTTTGAGGCCAGCGCTGCAGCGGGAGCACCATTGTGGGAGGACCAAAACGTTCCAAGTGAAAAGAACATGCATTTCCATGTGCTGCCATCCTGTGCGCCCAAACAAATCATGTGTGAGACAACAGTTCCGCTCACACAGAAACTGGGGGGAGAGAGGAGAGTAGTTCTCATATTGGGCGCTTGGGAGAATGGAGGAAGGGGAGGAGAAAGTTCGGCAGCGTGCGACGATCCACTTTGGGCTCTGATTCGAGTGCATTGGGCCAAAGCGCAGAGCCTCCTGCGAGGACGGCAATGGCATCTGCGCGCAAACCCTTTATCGGGCGTTGGCAGAACTGGGTTTAGTGGAACCTGGTTTAGAGATTTGAACCGGGGGCGCCCCCCCGTCCCATGTCCACTAACCGGAACAGCCGTCACCCGAAAAACACCAGCTACGGCAAACCTGGTTTAGTGAATCTGGCCAATTGAAAGGCCCCCGGGCCCTACCACAAACCGGGTCCCCTTACCCGGGGTCTTGGCTATACCCGACTCTATTGCAGCTCGAAAAGGGAAACTGCAGACCGACAGCGGGGGGGGGCCACGCAGACATCCCGACCGCCGCCCGTTTCCCCGAGGAATGCGTCCAGGATCCCGGGCACGGGGGGCTCCTGTCGTCGACGAAGTTGTTGGCTCCTGACACCGCGCGGATCGTTCTGGGTCGCCTAACGTCGGCGGCGAGCGACGGGAGGAATTGAGAAGGAGAAGGCATCATCAGAAGGCGGCGGGGCTTCTCAAAAGCGCTTTGGCCGTTGTGTGTGTGTGTGGGGGGGGGGGGGGGGGGGGGGGGTTGGAAAACTTCTCAGAAGGCCGGGGGACTTCGGAGCCTTCTGAGAAGGCCCGCCCCCTCTCACTCCCCACGCCCCCGGGCTGGCCGCCGATGGCGTCTGACACCACGTGGATCGCTCTGGGCCGCCTAACTCGAGGCTCGACGCGCGGTCGCCCTTGCCCCACCTACAGCTGGGCAGCTCTCCAATCCACACCGCGACGCGCGAAGCGCGACTGCCTCCGCGCCCCTGCTCGGCTTGCAAATCGTCGTCGCGGTGCGACAGCAGCGGCCTGCGTGTCCGGGCGTCAGCGCGTGTTACTTTAAACGGAGAAGGTTAAAGGCGAGGTATAAATCGAGCATGTACCGCTGCCGTGCCTGGCTCAAGCCGGGCCCGGCCTAATATGTGATTGTGCCTCACCGAGGGCACACTACTTGCATCTGAGATCGGAAACATCCTTTCCATTGACGATGCCCATCCTACTCTTTACTCCAGATCCCATGCTTCGTCTCGCTCTCTTGCTCATGCGATATGAGCCAAAGCCTGGGATATGGCAACGCCTAAGGCGTAACACATACCTAAGCTTACCAGCTTGTTTTCGACTTGGTAGCGGAGCTGGCTACACTCTCGTGTGGCTGGCTCTCGCTCTGATTCCAGTAATCCACGGCACAACTTGGTGGACTACTACTACGGTGGAATACCATGTTGCGCCGGCTCTGCGAGGAGCGGAGCCAGTCCGCGATCGAGCTAGCGGGGTCACCCGCGAACTCGAGACGCTTTCTCCTACTTCACTGCGCTACTTCACTCCTGACTTCCACCAGATGCCAATCGGCAACTCGATCGAGAACGTGGTCACCCTGCGGGGCTACCCGCAGCGGGGCCACCTGCATCCCGTGCCGGTCAGGCGCCTCACGGCTACCACGCCAGAGCCTGACAAACCACAGCCTAAACCAATCACCGAAGCCGAAATGCATATGCATTGGATCAAGATAACTATCTTCGGCATTCTATGGGTGATAATGGGATGTGCTGTGGGATACATGCGGCAGGGGATGGACGACACGCGTACTACTGGCCCTACATGGGACCCTGCCGGTACTACGCCTTTCCGCGAATACGTTCGCGAAGTACATGCATGGTTAAACGTAACGAGCGGCAATATGACACCACCACAACAAGCTGCAGCACTACAACGAGGCCTTCAGGGTCTGGCTCGTCGTATCGCCATGCAGGTCCCCTCCCAGATCATCAATTATGGTGTAACTGTCAATGGACAGCCAACGGATGCAGTAACCTACATACTGTACTTACTGAGCACCAAATTTGAAAATCTGGAAGATGAGCGCCAGCTCAACTCTGGCACGGCCCTTATCGACTTCCGCGTCGAAAGGGGCGAGCGAATCGACTCGGTATTAGCTCGATTCGAGATGGCCCGTGACGAGGCTAACTCTGTTGGCTTTGTCATCCCCAACTTTCAGATCCTAACGCTGATTCTCTTCAGAGCGTTAGGCGTTGGCGCGTCACGAGCCCAACACCTGCTTGAGCCCTTTAATCATCAGATGCCCCGAACACAAGCAGACTATGACAGGCTGCTGACCAGGATGAGGAACTACGGACATGTTGCCGAGCGCTCTCCTGGCAACATAGCGGGTATCTTCACAGGGCACCACTCACATGCAGGTGTCTATGCCACGACTGCGGGGTCACCCGCTGGTCCTGGCGAGCCAAATCCCTGGGCTGACCCAGCCGATATGCCCAACGAGGCCACTGCCCTTCTAGGGCAGACCGGCCAGGCATCGGCAGAGGCAGCTGAGGCGAACGCCTGGTCGAACTACTCGCCAGGCGCCGCCTACACTGCAAGCCCGC